ATTACCGGTCGACTCTTCATCGGTAGGTAATAGGGGGGTGGAAACGGTACTGGATGATCTCCTCGTGAACATGGTTTGAGGAGGCGCGAGTCCAAGTTCATCGAACGAAGGCTGCTTCGGCTTGTGAGGAGAGCCACTGACAGATCCATTGATAGAGCCACTGATTGACCCGCTGGGTCGCCGGTAAGAAGAAAGTGAGGCCGCGTCTTCCTTTCGAGAAGGAGATGATTCGGTTCGCCTATCATACTGCGATTGAGTTTCACTGCGCAACGGTGAAGGTGAGCGTTCTCTCCTAGCACCAAAAAAGGGGTCTGTCTCGTCAATCTGGTTTAGCAGTGGGCGAGACCGAGCTGGATCACGAGCAGGCACTGCTGGTATATCCTCATCCGGAGTGGGGGGTATGCGGCTCATTCGTGGATGCATCGAGACTGGCCGGTCGGCATCATCGCTAAACGCGTCTTCCAGCTCAATATCCGTCCTCGGGCCAAAACTAGAACCAGGGCGATCACCAGCCTCAGATCCCGAATCTTGGGACATGGACCGAAAGTATTCGGACCGCCCCTGAACAATCAAAGGGCTCTCGACTGTGAGGGGAGGAAGTCGGCTCATCCTGTTTCCCTCTTTGGCGCTCTCTTGTAATTGCCTTGCGAGCAACCGGCTCTGCATGGCAAAGGCGTCCAACGGGGACAGCTCGGGAGGGATTTCGCCGGCGACATGGAGGCGAGGTGAACGGAGAGGCTTGGAGATGGTGGAAATATTCGAATGCTGCGATTCGGATCGCAAGTCCAAAATGGACGGTCGTGTCGACATGGTTGGCCGCTCTCAAGTATAACTCTAGCGGTAAAGTCTGGTGCCCATGCAGATATTACTATTATGGAAAATCGAATGCGCTATGCGGAAGCGTAACTGAGGTTGTCCCTCTCGAGAGTTCCGCAAAAAACCAAAGCAACCAGAGAGTGTAGCAGGAGAGTTGGCTGTATTACTTCGTTGCTTTGACGCTCGGTTGCAGCGAGGAAGGACCAGGATCCGAGATGGTCGGGAGAACAGGCCGAGCGATTGTCAAAGAGCAGGGGGCACCGGTATTAACAAGGCGTTACAAAGCTGCGGCAGACATTGGGGGTCGACAAAGAATGGATGATGGCGAACAGACGTCAGGAACGGCGAGACGAGGGTGACGGCGAAAGACAGCCAAGCAGTGATCGGCGGGGGAAGAGGGATCTTTGCGCGGGCCGCGCTATGCGATTAGTGCCACGAAGAAGCTCGATGGAACGGAGTTGAAACGAGCGACGGCCACTACGACCAAGAGGAAATCGGCGACGCAGACGGAGAACGGGGTTCGAGATTGTCGGAGATGTGAACGGCGCAACACGGAGCCGTGCTATGCTATGTATGTATTGTATGCTATGCGGCGACGGCGGTGTTGTTGACGGGTCTTGGGTCTTCGTGGGGTGACGGGGCGACGCCCTTCCTTCGTTGATGGGGCCAAGATGAGACGAAGCACGAACGAGTATTAGAACGAGGGCGACAGAAAAAGAAAAACACCGAGAGAACGAGCGGCCAAGTATGCGAATGACGACTCAAAGTCAAAGAAGAAGCGGCGAGAACAGGGGAGTCGTGGTAGAGGAGGGATGGTGTTTGTAGACGGGAAGTAGGATTAAGGTCTAAGGTATCTGTAGAGAGCATAGACATGCGGCCCTAGCTAAGTCTTTCTCTCTCGTCCTTCCCCCCCAAGCAATAGCCCCCAAGCGCGAACAGGGAACTAATTTACCTTGCCCTGGGTGGCTTTATTAGACCTTGGTTACAGTGCAGAAGATTGATGGATGCGATGTGGAAAGAGTGGAGAGGGAGGTGATGGATCATGGATGGATCCCGTCGGGTCCCTTTTGGATGGGACCCAGGGTGGAGGGATACCGGATGGGGAGAGGGAGGTCTCTGGCGTTGTGCTGTGCAACGCTCCAAGAGGACAAGGCATTTTGATTAGGTCGGTTCTTGCATTACGCTGTTGTCTGCATCCAGCCAGCCCCGGCGGAGAGTTGACTATCAAAGGGGGGGGGGCTTTGAAATGCTAACCTCTTGATCTCGCCAACTTCGCCTCATGTTCTCATCAATGTTGTTGATGTGGATGCCCTCTCTCCACTAGGTCTGTGCTGATGAGGTGTTCTGTACATTGAGACTGGGCTGCACAAGATCCAATTCTCTCAGAGGGCGTGGCGGCGCAGCGAATGCACTGACAATCCATGTCCAAAATACGAGGCCCTTGACCTGCACTATTACGCTGAATGTTTCTCTCCCCGCTCTGCACTGCGCTGCACAACGCCGACCCTCGTGGCAAGTCTAATAAGCTGGCCCTCTAGACCACCCCCCATGACCGAAAGGAGGCGTTCGAATAGTCCCACCTGCTCCAGGACCATCACCAGGGTTCGACTTGACTTGACATTGACGGGCGGGGACCGAGTCCAACTGAGAACGGAGCCATGTCCGTCTACAGTAAAGGGGATTCTAGAGTGTAATATGGATGGATTCAAAGTCAGCCGTACCCAGGGAGATTTTATTGCTCCCCCGTCAAGGCTACCAACTCGGGAAGGCAACCTCTTTCTCGCAGTAGCATCCAATTTCGCTGTTTTTCAAGGACCAGCAGCCGCGGTCACACAAGCAAAAAAACGGCCTCGACGCCTCATTTCGGTGCCTTGCATGCGTCTTTGCACATTCTAACCACCCTGCGGCCCGTCGTCATTGTTTTTCTTTCTTATCCCCTGCTTTCCCCCCATCTCCAACAACAAATGTCTTGCTCCCCTTGTTCTCATCCTTTCAAAGGCCTCCCAGCGTGTCTCTCTCTCTCACTTGTCAGACCCCAACCCCAAGACGACGGCAAAACAATGAGACCAGACCAGGGTCGGCCGGCTTGAGGCTCCACAGACTCCATGGCTCCAGTGTAAAGTACCTGTCTTATTGCAGCCACTTGCCAGTCTGGGGTACATGCTCTGGGGCTTTCATTGTTATCTTTGTTCTATTATCTGACTGTCAGAAAGGCATATGCCTGGTGACGGATGCACTACCTGGCCATTGATAAACCGTTGCAGATCAAACTCAGCCTCGAGAGCGGTCTACATTTGCCAGACAACACAACATCTTTTAGCGCTGGCTCCCGTTGTCAATGGTTCACCTCGGGTCGGGTATCTGAACCTCGCCTCTCTTCATCGCCCCCTTTCAGCTCTCCAGGATTACCCTACCCTTTCCTGTCTGTTCTCGGCCCCTGGCACAAGAGGAGAGAGAGGTCTAGACAATGATTGCTTGGCTGTCTGGACTCTTCCGATCTCGTTTAGCCTTGTGTGCTACGTACGCACGCACGTATGTAGCGACAGTTTCGCCTGGCTAGGCTCATTTGTTGTCTTTGACGGTCCATCCAAGACCCAGTTCTGCATGCCAGCCGAGTTTGAAAACAGCCACAAACATAGGTCTCGTCAACAGGCCTCGCCTCTCAGCATTAGTTACTCCGTACTGTATGCGCCTCCGCCTCCGCCTCTGTCTCTTGATTACGACTAGTTCACGCCCGACCCCAGTTCTCTCTCACTCACGAGTTTTTTATAGCAACTGATGACCAGCGCTAGTCCACCAAGACGGCGACCCGGGCCACAAAGGCAAATTTGCACGCGTAAACGTCTTTCTTTTCCGTCTTTATCGGAGGATTGACGTGGATCACTGCAACTGCTGCTTCAGCCGCAGCGAATGACGCAAATCATAATTCTCTTTACCTCCAGGGTCAAGCCACGCCGTGTCACTGGTGCCAGATGGAGTGCGGCCTTGGATGCCACGAAAGCTCACGTATTACAGAGCCTGACGCAAGGGCACAGGGAATGACGCAGGCGGCCCTTTGTTTGCCGACAGCGGACGGGGACAGGACAGGACAATTGGATCACACCTCAAACCGGTTGCTAGGTACTCCGTACATGTGGCTACGGTTTCACCACTGTCATGGCCGAATCTTGCATCTACCCGTTCCACCAAGGGTACTGTACAGCATCTGAAGTTCTTCCTCCACCCGACAGTGTGTAGTACAGTATCTCGCAAGGGAGCGCAGATATCGCTAACAGCCATCGTTCCGTCCCTCGCCTGTCAATCGTAAATGAACGATCACCCGAGATGAACCAATCAGACACTCCGTCTAGACTTCTCCTGAGTCCTCTTACACAGCCATCCATCCATCTTACAGCCATTGTCTCTGTCAGAGAATCAAGTGGTCAAGACGCATTCAAGTCTCATTTTGAGCCTCTTCACTTTGTTATGCCTTCTACAGCGGCACCTACCAATGAAACACCACCCGTCACACTGTCCAGCTTCCGACCCCGGTCCTTATCCCGCCAGTGTTTCTCAACTGTCCATGATCCAGGGACATGGTCCCCTGCTGACAGCACTCCTCGATTGGTCCCTGAGCACGAGGACTTTGTGCACAATAATCTCACAATCTCGTCACTAATCTCCGTGCTCGCACAAGGCCAGGCACAAGCCAAGGTTCGCCATCCTTGAGTGCTTCTCTTCTCCACAGCGTCTTCAACGATCGATCCCCTGCTTCAGGGGTTATACGGACGAGTACGCGCAATTGACTAAGAGGGAATGGCAGAATCTCCCAGGTACGATGTCGGTGATTTGCAGATCTCAATTCCCACCCGCCGCCGTATTTGAAACTGTCTTCGATCCGACGCTGTTTTACATAGCCGCCCTCATGAGACATGTGAAAGCCCATCTTATAATCCACCCTTCTCTCTCCCCAGTTGACGTCCCATGGCCTAGGTTCTCGAACAAGATGCATGTGCCATCAAGTTCATGGCTCCTCTTATGATTTGATAATGCTCCTTAAAAATTCCCAACTATTCCAGAACGCCTAACCCACCAATGCATAGGGAGCATTGGACTTTTACAATAGCTACACAGGTCCTTCACCATAGCTGGTTGTACCTTGCTCATACTCACTCGTCCCTGCATCACATCTATGTACTCTCTGCTTACATGTCCTTGGATCGCATCTTCTTGAGACGAGCGGCACCCTCGAACAGTCCGCGGTCAACCGCCGCGGCGACGGTCAGAGTTCCACCAACAATGGCGCAGAGTCCAGCAAGGAAACCGCTGAAGGTCTTGCCCTTCTCCTCGCGGTTGACAACCTTCATGGGGGAAATATCCTACAGCCAGCGTCAGTTTCGATTCACCTGTCAAGACAAGCGCCGGAGTGCACTTACATAGGAGAAGAAGACGCCAGGAATACCACCACTGGTATGCTGGCGCTCGGCGTGGCCTTCAGCGGCGTCGTTACCGCCAGCCAAACTCCTCTTGTGGCTAGTGACAGAGTACTGGTGAGTCTCGACACTGCCATCCTCGGCGTAACCGTAGGCTCCAAGGCTTGTGTCGTCCTGCAGTAGGCCGGCGATCTTAAGACCCTTGCTGTCCCAGCCCAGAGGGAGGTACGATGTAGGGACAATCTTTACAAAGTACATGAAGTTGAAGTTGGGATCCTTAATATCCTGGCGAGTACCATCAAGAGGGTTCTGGTGGTGGTTGGTCCAGGGCGTTCCCTTGCCGACCTTGCGAGCGACTTCATCGGGGAGCTGAGGACCAAAGCGAAGAGAGTGGATGATGTGGGTGAAGTCGTGCGCCTTGCCCTTGGGAGCATCCCAGTAGTTCTTCAGATCGTGAACGTGCATGTTGCCGCTGCTGAAGCTTCGTCCAGGAGCAAAGTGGAAGTTACCAATAACCTTGTTCACGCGCAGGCCACCCTCAATACGGCAACCTTCCTCACGCTGAGCATCCAGCTTCTCAGCATAGTGCTCGCGCTCACACTGCTCAACACCCTCTCCACGACCAAAGGCCCAGGACGCCTGGGCGTAGGCTTCACGAACTTCGTCACAAGTCTGACAGCAGCCGGCTTTCCGGGCATTCGCAGGGGGCTGAGCACCGTAGCAGCCACCGCAGTAGGAGGGATCGAGGTGGGCGGCAGCATCATCGTGGAGGGAGAGGGACTTGGAGTCGATATCGGCGCCGCCCTTGGACTGGGGTTGAAGACGGACTTTGTTGACACCGTGCATGACGCCGTGCTGCTGCTCGCCAGAGACATCCATGACATCGAGGGTCAGGAGCTCGCAGGGCATCTTGGGGAATGTGATGTTGAGGTGGATCTCCATTCGCTCTCCTGTAAATCACATCCACGTCAGCAACTCGCGGTTATAAAGTCACAACGGGGAAGCAATCGCGGTTCTATCCCCGGGGACCTAGGCGCTATTCCATACCTCGTCCTCTATCCACAATCAACTCGGGGTGTATCTCAACCCGGCGATACTCTGACCATTCACCCCAGGCCAGGAAGATGACGACGATCAGAGACACGATAGTAACAATACCACCACTTGTGGTTCGAATTCGCGCCTCGTCGACTGTCTTGGTAAAGGCATCGAGCCTTGTGAACCTCGACTTGGGAGGCATTTTGGGAGAAGCGTGTCGTTTGTTGGATGCGACGAGGTTCGAGACGGGTATAAGTTGGTAGGTATGAATGCGACAGCAGCGCGGGTCGCTAAAGAGCAGCTGAAAAGGAGAGCAGGCTTCAGGAGCAACCACAAGAAGATGGGCAAGAAAAGGATCAAATGCAGTGAATGAGAGACAGCATTCGTCGAGAGTGGCTGCGGACCGGCACCTCACACTCGAGCAGCAAAAAAAGAGGAAGAATTGAAGCAATGCGAGAATAAAGAGTTTGGCTTGTTCCTATTCTTACATTTCTTAAAGGCCACCTTTTTCCAACTGCGGCCGACTACCTAGTACGGTACCTATCTCTTGGTCCTTCCGCGCGTAGCTTGGGGCCCTCCTCTCCTGCCTCAGAACAGGGTCCCCCCTCCGTGGTATCTTCAATTGAGCTAAACCTAAAAGGGATTGATCCCGAGCTTCGAGGCACTGGGTCGGAAAATCTCCGGTTTCTATTGGAGCTTCGCATGCGTCAGGCACTGCAGACGGGAAGGAAGGCTAGTGGTCCAAGAAAAAAATGGCACACTTCGCAAGTATTCAATCCACTGAATCACAGCATAAAAGGCTTATGATTATAAATCTAAGAAGTCATATAGACTTGAGAATATAATTTATATAATTTATTTTTATTTTTATTTTTATTTATTCTAGTCTAAGTTATATCTATATTGCCCGGTAAAGGTCTTATTACCTACCTGCAGTGTGCCATTTATTTCTTGGTCTGCGTGGAAGGGAAGCTTTGGTTCAGCCTGCCGCTGTAGGTCCACTAAATCAGATCGCAAGGCTGAGAAATTCCAGCCATCACTCACTCTCTTCCAACTTTCCTACACCATCACCATTTCTCTCTGTAACCGCCATCTGAACCAACTATTCCGGTTTAGATAGTTTACTCGTTCGTTTTCATATTGTGCGCCGCACTTGCACGTCCTCGACAAACACGCGATCCCTCTTTTCGTATACGAGATAATCTTCTTTGTTGCCTCCCGGCCGTCTATAGTCAACATGTCGACGAGGCCACCCTCTCGCGTTGTGTTTGTGGGCAACATCCCATATGGTAGGCGCCGCCAGCTATGTTTGTGGCATACTGTATCTGACTAGTCTCGCAGGACTCACCGAGGAGCAAATCACCGAAATCTTCAGCAGCGCCGGCAAGGTCGAACGCTTTCGCCTAGTTTATGATTCCGAGACTGGACGACCCAAGGGCTTTGGCTTTGCAGACTACCCGGATACCGGTACGATTCCTCGATCGCCGACATACATTCTCTTCTAACCGACTTTGATAGACTCGGCCTCCTCAGCTGTGCGCAACCTGAACGACTACGAGATCATGGGCAGGAAGCTTCGCGTTGACTTCTCTAACGAGCAGAAGAGCACCGACGAAGACAAGGACCAGGTACTAGGCATGCAAGCTCTATTCAGATTCATACTCTAACCTTGGACACCAGGGCGGCTCAGGCTATAACCCACACGGATCTAATGGCGCCGGCCCCAGTTACAGCTCCCAGCCAAGCACTCTCCCTCCTCTGCCTGCCGGAAAGGAGCTTCCACACGGCGTCACCTGCACCGATGCTATCTCCCGCACTCTTGAAACCCTCCCACCTCCCCAGCTCCTCGACATTCTTTCCCAGATGAAGACCCTCGCGACCAACGAACCTCAGCGAGCTGCCGAGCTTCTCCAGCAAGCACCACAGTTGGCATACGCAGTGTTCCAGGCTCTTCTTCTTATGGGTCTCGTCTCCCCCGAAGCTATTCAGTCGGTCGTCGAACCAGGAGCGCCCCCACCAGCTGCTGCCTATCCTCCCGCTCCGATGCCTGGCTACCCCGGAGCGAGTAACACTCCTCCAGTCGCCAATATGCCATATCAGGCGCCTTCTCAACCCTACGGCGCTCCTGCCGCTACGCCCGCGCCGGCTGCCCAGGATCCTGATGCTCTGATGCGAGCTGTCATGGAGCTTCCTCAAGCTCAGATCGACATGCTTCCCGAGGCTGAGAGGCAACAGATTTTGGCTCTCCGGGCTACATTTGCTGGCCAGCGGAGGTGATTCGATGTATAGATACATTCGCACAAGGTGATTTGCCAGTCGTGTTGAGTGAAGAGACTCGCCAGAGGCATCTCGCATCATGCACTTGGAGGGTATTTGGATGTATTAGGCGTTCAGGCGCAGATATGGGCCATTGATTTACAAAGTCCAGGCGGAAGCATAATCCCTAACTATTTGCTAGTCGTAGGGTCGAAGGTTGGTAGCCATATGATGCGACGTTGCAGTTGTCTGGACGTGCTTTCTGGTGGTCACAACTCCGTCATGCCAAGGAGAAGGGGGTAACATGGCGGTATCTTGAAAGCCAGGTCATTGTGAGGGGTATCATCATGATGGTGTAAGAGAGGTGGCACGATTGCAACAGTTATGGGATAGGGATTGAACAGATACCCGCGACTGAGATTTACGGAAAAGAAAATGAAACAGAATTCTATTCCCGGTGTTACTTTGAATACGAATGGTCTGGGTTTGAATGTGATCCTAGCTGAGCTTCAGGGGTGATGTAGGGTAAAGAAGACCATAGGTAGTGGGCAAGATTGACAACTTCTATCCCATATAATTGATCTATTTAGCCATGCATGAACTAGTTAATCTATGTCGATGTTCATTGATACTACGATGCGATTCGTTTCCGATTTTTGGATTTATTATAAAGTACTTACAGAACATGTTGGAGGTGTGTTCTGGCATATCTTCAAGACTACCATCAAGGAGAAAGTCACAATAGCCAAGATGCCTAATTTTTGCTACGGCTCGCGCCCCAAAAGACATGTCAATTTTATGTATACTCTCCCATGCCACACGCCGAAAAGTATTGGGAACCCGAACTACCCAGCGCCAGATGTACTGTCTGGATGCGCCCCCAAACCCCCCTAAACCAACCAGCCATTTCCAGACGAACAAGTGCTGTACCGTGATAACTCCGGGCCTACAGGTTGAAAATGCCAACAGGCAGATAGAAAGAAAACAACATAAAAAAAGAGTGAGGGCGGCAAGACTGTGTACTGTGTGCCAACCGCTGTATCGTGTGCTCAACTCTTGAAAGTAGCACTCTTGTGTGTATCCTTCGCTTCGGCTCTCCTGGATGTAGGAATGGCCCCTATACAATGTTGTATACCCTCTTGGCTATCATGTAGCATGCGAATCCAAAGAAAAGGAGACCAGCCGTAATCCAGGCGAACCAGGCCAGGTCGCCTTCATACTCTTGACCGGGCACCCAGACGTTCATACCCCACAGACCAGTGATGATGTTCATGGGGAGGACAATGGTGCCCAGGACGGTGAGCTTTCCCAGGACGTCGGCCGTTTGTTCCTGGCGCTCGTTCATGCGAATGTTTATCTGGGCGAGGTAGTTGCCATGAGATCGAGCGAGTATTCTGCATGTGTTAGTACTTTGTCCCTTGGCCTTATACACGTATACAACTCACTTTTCGTAATGGCCAAGATTGGCAGTCATGGTGATGATGTGATCTTGGATATCACCAAGATAGAGGCCAATCTCGGACCGAGGCGCAACCTCCCATCGCTCATTGCAGCGCTTGGCGAATCCTTTGATAACATCCGCCTTGTTGCCCAGCAAGCGGTATAGACTCATGACCCTCTTTCTGCAGTCACCTACACGTCGAAGCATGTCACTACTAGGATCCGACGTTGTGACGGCGTCGTCTGGCCTCGAGTTGACCTCCTTCAACCGCTTATCAGAAGATGAGTGCAGCTTGAGGATGACATCGTCAATCTCATCTACTTCATCCTCGATATTCTGTATCAAGGGCTGAAAGACATCCGTGATGTCGTCGATAATGGCATACGAGATCCAGTCCGAGGATAGTATCAAGTAGTCGCGCAACTGTCGAATTCGTCGACGAACGTTGGCAGGATGCGGCGTCTTGGAGAAGTGGAAGCTCAAGACACCTTCTCGGAAGACAACCACATACATATCGACAGGTTCCAGGAAGTTTTCGCTGTTGTTGTCTTGATCAAACGTCCGATAGTTGACAAAGTAGTAGTGCCTAAACAGTTCAACCTTTTCGCGAGCCTCCTGCAGCATGATGTCTTCTGCGGTAAGCGGATGGATACCAAAGGCTTTGGATATGACCTTCATCTCAGGTTCAGTGGGACAGAGAACATCAAGCCACCAAACTGGTCGCTCGCCATATCTCAGGATCTTGTCTTTTGAACCAGCCGTAGTGTCCTGTGAGATGTGCAATAAGCTTTCCTCTGCTGACTTGCGGCCCGTCGGAGTAGCCCGCCCTGATTCGCTTCTCGAGGCCACATGCGCCAATGGATCTTTCGAGGGGGATGTCGTTCCTTCAGGCCGGGTCTCGAGAGTATCACGAGTGGCTGACAATGACGGTTGGCGTGTATTAGCCTTGGACTCGCTATCTGTCCCCGAGCCCTGATTGCGAGCCTTGGTGGGAATAGCGATGGGGTCCAAATCTTCCTCATCAGACTCGTCATCAGAGAGAAGTCTAGGATCTGGAATGAAGAGTTCTCGAAAGCCGCCGCCAGGCTGGACAAGCTCCGATATCGTCTGGCTGTGAATCGTGCTCTGAAACTCCTCGTTGAAGTAAGTGAACCGGTAGGGCGTTTCCTCATCTGACTGAAACCAGCCTTTGCGCAACGGGCGGAGTCGTCCATTGATGAGCTGCGGCTCCGTAATCTTCTTGACGCGACGTTCCTCGGTTCGGTCCTCCTTCTCCATGTGACTCCATTCTTCCAGGGTGGACAAGTCGGGCCATTGACCGCGACGACGTCGTGTTCGATACTGGCGTTGCTCCTGACCTCGTGTCTGAGGCTCGTCATCTCCCATTTCGGACATACCAGGACCCGGGAAGCAAACATCCTGCTCAGCCTCAGCCACCATTCTTCGACCAAGCTCAGGTCGATTATCCCTTAGAACACTTCCGACATCAGAAAGGCCGTCAATCTCGCCTATCAAGCGATGTGGGGAGTCGTCACGGACACTGCCGAGTTCATCCCGTATCATGACATCCCCTAGACTGAGTTCTATGCGATCGGCGGTGCCAAATGTAGGAGAGCCCGGCATGGATGGCGGATGGTTGATATCGTAACGGTCCTTTGCGCCAGATGAAGTTCCCAGCCGTGTCGTGGAGGACTTGTTGGAGGGTCGACGACTTCGACTGTGGCTTGATACCGCATCACTTGCACCGTAGCCAGATAGACCAGTCTGTGAACGTCGTAGCCTCGATTCGCCGAGCAAAGGCGCGGATTCATCCCATTGCGAATGTTCTGGATGCTCCTCTTCGGCGGAAACGGCTGGGATCGAGCGGAGACGGTTACTGCTTGGGCCTGTAAAGGGCGAGACCGGAGCCGGGACTGTCGATGATCGTCTGGGACGCATAGGGTGGTGACCACTGAGTTGCATATTAGTGGGATGTTACAGAAGCAATTGTTCATGCAAGCCAAGCTCACCGATGATCTAACAATGCCTCGCTATCAATGCTCGCGCCGCTCAGATTAGCCTTGGGGAGGTTGAAGAAACCCTCCCCAGCAGCCTCCTCAGCCTCGTCGCGTCCATCATCCTCGTCAAAGGCCGCAAAACTCTTTCTGCGCGCGCGCTTCTTCTTGCCACCTCGGTGTCCCTTTCTCTTCCTGGGCTTGGGGGTAGAGTTGGAGGCGGAGGCGGAGCCAGAGGCAGCCTGCCGTTGGGTGGGGGTGCCAGGCGATTGAGTGTTGCTTGGGTTTGCCAAGTTGCTAAAGCGATTGTTCGAAGCCATATCGTGCTCCTGAAGACAGGGACACTATGGAATTATGTGAAAGGGAGAAGAAGAGAAAGCGTCGAGGGTTGTGGAAAAGTCGTAGGAATGACTGCGCAGTGCCATCAAGCCGCAAATCCATGGATCAGTGATGATGTCAGCTACCTGGGGCTACCTGCCTACAGTTTGGCGCCTGCATCGGCCAGCTACAGGGGGGCGCTCGCCTGGAGCAATAATTGGCGTAGGGCACTTTTAGCTGGGTTCCCACTAACCGGCCACCAAAGTTACCGTCGGGTCAATCCCCGCAGCGGGGGGCGATGAGAGTTGGGGTTGCAGCTGGAGAGAAAGGTAAAAGGGAGGTCAATGTCAGAAGTGAATTTCATCATGGTTGTAGATCGACAGCGTGTCTAGTCATTGTCTCTTTTTTCCTGCCTCCTGGTATGCGACTCAAAGACAGCAATGTCGGTCATGCCTTGCAGCCTACCTAGACACATGTCTGCTCCACACTCACCAGTCAATCGGCCATATCCGGCCCTCGCCAACTTGGGGCTTCAAGGCGTTACCACATGACAACTGTTGGGTCTCAGACTCACCACGTTCACTCGCTGGGTTCCCGGTGACATGTGTCCAGCTGAGGACGTTTCTCGCTAAACAACAACTCCTCTTTTCGCCTTTACCGCAACATCAAAGAGGAGCCAGCGAGTTGTCATGATCATGATGTACAACATCACCGGCCCCACCAACTATCGGTTGTCACTACTAGCTCGGTATCATGTCCGGCACGCGCCGTCAAGCCAGCCCAATATACCGCAACACCACACGACCTATCATAAGCAAAGGCGTGGTGGCAGAGTGGTCTAATGCGATAGACTAGAAATCTATTCTCTTCGGAGGCGTCTGTTCGAATCAGGCCCACGTCGATTGGTTTTTTGCTTCTTTCTGCGGTTATTGATGATTCATTTTTTGCCTTGTTTCGCGATTGGTGTTGGTGTTTCTGTTGCCACCAAGACGACAACTCAGCATCGTTTCTTTTTGCCACCACTGCTTCTTATCTATGATAGGCACTTCAGGTTACGTTACAAGATAGCAAGAGTATCCCTGCTTCGAGAACTTGCGCCGTCGTGTGAGGCTTATCAATGAGCACTCAGAAACCCCAGCAACAACCAATGCCACATGCTGTGCGAGGAAATACAGCATTTTGACGTCAAGGCATGTTTCAGCGCCGCATCTGCATGAAAACCTGTGTCCATACCAAGACTAACAAAGTATCCATTGCCTATCATTCTAGAGTAACAACTTTTCGTGGAATGCCCAAACACATTGCCATTTGCGCCATGTTCCTCACATCTCTAAGAATTACACGCGAGTCTAACTTGGGTATACGCAACAAACTAGCTTTTGCCATCCTTACAGTCCGCTTAACCGTCTTTACGCAACTTCGGTGGTCTGGGGAGATCCCTCAAAGTCCCACAGCTTGACGAGCAGGCTATCGGGCTCAGCGTCACCGGCCTCATGAGGCAAAAAGACCTTCTTGGGAATGTGGAACTCGACTACAGGTGCCTTCCTGACGTTCTTGGTCATTTCGGCCTCGAGGAGCTATACAATAGTTAGAACATTGTCATCAATCTCACACGTAGCAACAACTTACAGTAGCATATGAGTGGTCGAGGAAATCCTCAATGTTGTAAGAAACCTTGGTGAACTGCTCAGAGATGACCTTGGTAATGGTGGCAACGTTCGGATGGTAATGAGACTGAAGCTGTACAAGCTCCCAGAGACAGCTGTCAATCGCCTGGGTCTCCATTGGGTCCGCCTCCTCCGGTAGGAATGGGTCCTCAGCTCCATGCTCGCTCATGTGCTTCTTGACCTCGGGATCCCTCTCCTCTCGGTGAATCATGAACGTGCATGTCGGGTGACGCTTGAGCAGGTTGTAAATCCAGGGGGTCACAAAGACAATGGCGCTTGGGGGCGCATTCAGCGAAAGCCGAGCGAGGCGCTTGATAAAGCTGGCGACGAGCGCTGCCGGAAGATGGGTTGAGCCGAGGAAGGTGTCCAATAGGCGGAAGAATCGTGATCGGTGCTTGGAGTGAAGAATATCGCGATCCAGAAGGGAGTAGAGTTTTGTGTAGAAGGAGGGGTAGTCCAGATTTCGCTCCGAGATCAAGTAAAAGACACCCGAAAGGGCCAGGAGGGACATAGAACCACCGACGTCGTAAGAGTTGGTCAGGAAGTCGGCGAGCAGTTCGGGCTTTGTGAACCAGGGAGCAATCACGGTCGAGATGATGTCGAGTATCCGCTTGCGCTGCTCCTTTTCCTCAGCGAGGGTCATGATGGCAAGCCATGCCTCCTGGCCTTGCTTCTTGTGCTGGGTGACATTTCGAAGAGGGTGAGCCTTCTTCTTTGGCCGGGGGACGTAATAATCCTCCAGCTCATCAGCTGACTCCGGGACGCCATCTAGAGCGGACAAGAGCGCGAAGCATCGATCAAAGAGTTCTGATGAAGCATTGTCGTCTGAATGTTTCTCCACGATGTACTTGACTGAGCTGAAGGTAAAGTAGCGGATGTCGTCGTACTGCTCAGCAAACTCCTCGATATAAACCTTGCTTGCGTCCTCATTCTCACTCACAAGGAGTGATTCCATAATGTCGCGATGGAATGCCCGAGGGAAAATGTACTCCTCCTTGTCGTACATGAACTGCCCCTCAGCCTTGAGCGTCCTCATGCAAAGAGTCAAGGCGGTCGGGGCCAGCTCCTCATCCCGAAGCATCGCGAGCAGAGTCTTCTTAAACTCTCCAAACTGCTCCTTGAGCCAACCGACGACAACAAGATCCTTCTCGGACAGGCTCTTCTTGGCGATGAGAGCACCCTGGGTGAGTAGTCGCACAAAGATGCGGCAGAGCGCGACGGTCGCCAGCATGCTCTCGGGCTCGCCCTTTTTGAAGTCATTGGCGGTACTGAGAAGGACGGTGATGTCGTTGTAGTTCTTCCTCGACTCTAGGATGCCTTGCTCCATGAGAAGGATCTTGGCGTTGGGGTCCTCAGACTCATCGCTGGCGCTTGATGACCTCCGTCTCTTGGTGGGCTTCTCTTGAGTTGAGGACCGCTTGCGCTTGGAGCGCTCCTCTGTAGCGGCCTTGGGCATTTTGATCGCGTCTCCTTGGGCTTATCTCCTATACAATAAGATTAAAAAGAAAAGAAAAGAAAAGGACCAAATATCGCCGGTTCTGTTGCAAGTCTCAAACTTCGATTCATCCAAGTTCATAAAGTTCAACGTCCAGAAATCTTTACTTGACTGTTGAAATTTCGTCCAATCAAATCTGACACCGGCGCCAAGACCTCCCACGGCAAAATCCCGGCCGTGCCAGATCCCCTCCGATTTTCAAGGTCACGTGGATCTGATTGTTGCCGAGCTAGCGCGATAAAACCTCAACCTCACTTCCAGCTCCCCGATCAACGACAAGCCCACGATACCCCCATCACGTAACCATCTCACAATGGCGTCACGCTTGGCACGAAGCGCCGTCGGTACGTTCTGAGAGCCCTCGATACTCGATCCTGGCCCAATTCCACCCCAATTGGGCCCTCGCGACGACTCTTTCTGACCTAAACAGGCGCTCCCCTCCTCCGACCCGTCCTCGCCCGCCGAGCCGCCCCTGCCATCTCCGCCGCCGCCGTGCGATTCAACAGCAATGTCCCCGCCGAGGAGCCCAAGAAGAAGGCCCAGAGCCTCATCGACGCCCTTCCCGGAAACAGCCTGCTCAGCAAGACGGCCATCCTGAGCTCCGCCGCCGGTCTCTCCATCTACGGCATCTCCAGCGAGTACTACGTCATGAACGAGGAGACCATCATCGCCATCTGCCTGCTCTCCGTCTGGGGTGGTCTGATCAAGTACGGTGGCCCTGCCTACAAGGAGTGGGCCGAGGCGCAGAACAACAAGATCAAGAACATCCTCAACAGCGCCCGTGCCGACCACACCGAGGCTGTCAAGGGCCGCATTGAGGACGTCAAGCAGATGGGCAGCGTCGTCGAGATCACCAAGAACCTGTTTGAGGTTTCCAAGGTAATTCCGAGATGGCCGTCGGACCCGAGGTGATATATACTGATGGTACTGCGTGTTAGGAAACCGCCAAGCTCGAGGCTGAGGCTTTCGAGCTCGAGCAGAAGACCGCCCTGGCCGCCGAGGCCAAGAGCGTCCTTGACTCCTGGGTCCGATACGAGGGCCAGGTCAAGCAGCGACAGCAGAGGGAGCTTGCTCAGTCTGTCATCGCTAAGGTCCAGAAGGAGCTCGAGAACCCCAAGGTCCTCCAGCAGATCCTCCAGCAGAGCGTTGCCGACGTTGAGAGTGCGTGGATTTGCCCTGGATATCCAATTGACTATGCTGACACAGTTTACAGAGATCGTCGCCGCCAAGCAATAGATGACCAACCGCCGCTAGAGTCTCGATCACTAGATTCCACAGTTTCCCTTTGTACCCCTTTTGTGTCATAAAACAACACCTGTGCATTAGCCGAATCAATCAAGACCCTAGTTCCTTCACTGCTGGAAAGCTATTGTTGCCTGTGAGATACGTCAAGATAGGGTCAATTGCGTTTCAATTGGGTTTGTCGGAGCTATAATTTGCTCTTCGGGAAAGGTCGGGATCTCCGATATCGCCTATCCTATCTTCCGAGTTGAGCGAAAAATCAAAACAAATATCAACACGATGTCGTCTATTTTCGTGACAGTGACCCGATTGACATTGCCAGATTAATTGTTCATCCCTCGCAACGTCGTCTAGCATTGGATTGTTATATCCGCCGCGGATAAACTGATGGGGGCGGACTATAGTTCACTACACCAAGTATCACAAATCGACAACATGTCAACAATGTTCAGTAAGAAATTATTGTGCGTCTGTACATGGGTAATTATACACTCGAGAAAACCAGCAATCCTCAACGCCGGCCATCTGCTCCACGGATTCAAGATCCAAAGCATAGGTAACCACCCATCCGCCCGGCGCATCAAGACCAATAGATAAAAAAGAAATATGATAAAGGACTGTCTGTTGTGAAAAACAGGTCAGAAGAATCTGCTGTCAAAACAGCTATTAGTAGATCGGCCTCGGATCTTCCCACTTCTTGGGTTCTGGAGTTCCCTTTGCTGCTGGAGACTCTTCCACTCCAGGGCCGAGTGACACGCGCCCACTTCGTCGTCTTCTAGCTGCATCGCCTGCGACAGGACCAATCCACTCCCAAGCACGGCCGACTTCACCGCTGCGACCTTCTCTTTGACTGGTTCGAACATTGCTGTTTTGCTCAACCACAACTCTCACTCTCTGCCAGATGCGCTCACGCTCCGAGAGGGAATGCACGGAGCGTAGGATATCATCTCTCAAGTTAGGCAGAAACAACCAAGGGTCATCGATATCTTCCTCACCCAGTTCCTTCTGGTTGGCCAGTCTTCCCAGAACCAAGTCAACCAGAGCAGGAACCTGAGCCGAGGTAGCGACATGCTTGCGATATCGGGCTCGCATGTACAAGACAGTCAAGATTGACGTGACTAAAAGTCCAATTGTGAGTCGATATCTTGCCAGGCTGAGTCTGAGCGATCGTTTGAGCGCGCAGGTGAGCGGAAGGCGAGCGAGAGACGTGGACGATAGCCGTCGTTCTGAAAGATCGGGGGAACCGGGCGGTCTGTAGGGTCAATAGTGGATCTGGTTAGTGTTTTGGTCAGAAACGGTTTGAGGCAATGTCGTCGTCGTCGTCGCGGAGCCGGTTGTCGACGCGTGTGGATAAAGAGATGGAACTTACGGTGCTGTCTCGACAATCTCGATCTCTTCCCTTGCAGTAACCTCCCCAATGGCAGCAGCCCAGAGCTCATCAAACTCATCCTCATTGAGTCTCTTGGAGCGCTTTCGGCTGACAGTCTTCTTAAGTTCCTGCTCAGGGATAGCAGGAGACTCCTCCTTTTTGCCATCCTCACTAACAAGCTCTCCGCACTCATACTTGGCCCGGCGTTCTCTGAGCTCTTCAATGGCCTTGTCCGCCACGGCCTTGACTCGTCGCGCCTTTTCGCCATCAGGCTCGCAGGTAGGTGGCAGAGGGACTAAGCCGCCAAAAGAAAGTGGGTGCGGCTTGAGAATAAAGTCATGCTCGCATTGAACAGAAAAGTCCTTGAAGCAGTAGGCGTGCTGAGGGCAAGGTTCACACTGAGGCTCGATGTATGGGAGGAGAGCGTCAGGGACAGGAATCTCTGGTGGAACCAACGACTTCGCTGGTGCTCCGATCCCACAGTAGCCGACGGCCATCTTCTCCTGTCGATACCAGGCAAGATATGCGCCCAAGAGGGCCATAAAGAGGACCAGCAACGGCGCGCCAAGACCACCCTTGCGAGCGACCTGACCAGCAGGTTTGCGCGGCTCAATCGTAGTCTCCCCTCTGCTTGCTGCCTCCTCTAGCTCGAGTTGCTCATCAGGAGTGAACTCCTCGCCAGGCTCAAGCAGATCAGGAGTCGGCTCACGATATTTGGGTGTTGGCTCGCGATACTTGGGCGTCGGGGCTTCAAGTGTCTCCTCATAATTATCGGAATAACCATCTGTTCGTCGCCTCGAAGTTGATTTGACGCTTCGGATAGTGTCTCCGCCGCCGGTTGTGCGTCGTCGGTTGGTTGGGGTCTTCTGAGCGGGTGAGCTTCCACTCTGGAATGGGTTATCGTATGTGAAGACGCTCTCGTCGGGGTCTGGCATGATGGTCTCCTCCTCCTCGGGCTCCGCCTTGATCTTAGGTGTAACGGTTCGCCGAGTCTGACGGGTCGAGCGAGGAGCGTCATAGTCATCGTGGTCATCGGCATGGGAGAGTGCCCGGCTCACGGATCGTGTGCTCCGCTTCGCCGGGCTTCTAAGCCTGGAAGCGGGGGTTGCGGGGACATCATCCTCAGTCTTGATTCCTCTTGATACCTTTCGAGGAGACCTGGATCGCCGTTTTGCGACCGATGGGGGGGCAAGATCATAGTCGTCCCAGGTACCCGTGTCTTCGGCGCTACCGGCATTGACGATACCCATGCTAGATCGCTTGGCTCTTGCCCGCTGGGCTCGGAGCTTGGGAGCCTGAGACAAGACATGCTCCTCGACTAGCTCAACCAGCTGTGCCTTCTTTGCCGTTGCGGGGTATTCGACGTTGTGGGTGACGAGTATAGATCGTAGTCGCGGGATGGTGACTTTGTGGGCGTCAAAGCCCTCCTCGAGGTAATCCTCAACGTCCGCCATGATGTCTGCTCTGTTGAAGCTTGAGATATGGTAGGACAAGTTGCAAAGAATGGAAGAGTGCGGGATGGCCGCAGATCATAGACCGTCCACGTTGTATGTAGGTGAGGTCACGCAGCAGGATCAACAACAAAGATAGCTGCAGTTTGCGCCTGGGTTAACACCTGAAACCGCAATGGTCGCAGCGCAGTCGCGAGTAGCGTCTTGCAAGAGATGCCCAGGCGGCGTAAGAAATTCCTGCTCGAGGTGGGGTGATGGATTTTTCCCTCTCGTCTCGTCTGGACAGATTGTTGAGACAAAGACCCTTGACGCAATGATAAAGTTGATAGCGCCGTTGTCTGTGGCAACTGGAGCCTGGAACTTGCACGTTCCTTGTCACTTGACCCGTGCGGTAGCTGCACCGCCACGTCCAGCCACAGTACGCCACATTTGTCCCGCGAGCTATCGAACGATTGAGGGACGACATTCGCTGGGGAGCTTCAAGCGATGTCTCATCCCACATCGTGAGCCGTGATTTGCCTTTCACGACGGCGTTTTTCTGGAATTGAGGGCTCAATTAACTTTTCATACATCATGCTAGCCAGAAGGTCTGTTTTGGGACAGTCCAGCTTTGTCTGTCGGAGCTGTGTCCGCCAATACCAGTCGCAGATCCGCCGAGCGTCCACTGCCGCTCAAGACAACATTTACGATGTTGTCTGTGTTGGAGGTGGCCCAGCGGGCCTGAGCCTGCTTACAGCTCTTCGTAAGTTACTACATCACTATTCGGAACCTGGCTAACATTCAAACAGGGGCCAATCCCGTCACCGCCGGCCTCCGAGTCGCCCTCGTCGAAGCCCAGGATCTCTCCAAGGTCTCGTCATTCTCTCTCCCTCCCACCCAATTCTCCAACCGATGCAGCTCCCTCACCCCCTCCTCGGCCCGATATCTCGACACGATAGGCGCATGGCAGCACATGAAGCGTGAGCGTATTCAGGATTATCAGGAAATGCAGGTTTGGGATGGAGTGACGGGCGCCCGCATCGAGTTCGACTGGCCTCCGGGCTCCGCCGCCGACAAGACGATCGCTTACATGGCCGAGAACCTCAACCTTACGTCTGGACTTCTCAAGAGACTGAATGAGCTTGGTGGGGTGGATATTTTCGACAAGACCAAGGTGGAGAATATTGATCTGGGCAAGGAGACTGAAGAGGTTGATCTGAGCGAGTGGCCGATCGTCCAGCTTTCAGGTGGTCATTCCCTAGCGGCACGTCTTCTCATCGGCGCAGACGGAGCCAACAGCCCCGTGCGTACCTTTGCTGGTATAAACAGCCGCGGCTGGGACTATGGTAGACACGGCGTTGTGGCAACTCTTCAGTTGGAGGGTGACGGATGGGGCGGCGAGTTCAACAAGATTGCCTACCAACGTTTCTTGCCCACAGGTCCCGTTGCGATGCTGCCTCTTCCTGGTAACCATGCTTCGCTGGTCTGGTCTACCACGCCAGAGAAGGCTACCCTTCTCAAGAGCCTCTCCTCTAAGGACTTTATCGCTATAGTCAATGCCGCTTTCCGCCTGAGCCCTATCGACATCGGCTACATGCACACTCAAGCAGATGGCCAGGCGGAGGAGTTCTCATGGCGCATGGAGCACACGACCATCGATGCTGAGTCGATCCCTCAAACCGTCGTTGGCGTTCAGGAGGGTACCGTCGCATCTTTCCCCCTCAAGCTGCGTCATGCCGATACTTATACCGGCGAACGCGTTGCCCTTGTTGGCGATGCGGCGCACACCATTCACCCCCTCGCTGGCCAGGGCCTGAACCAGGGTCAGGGCGATGTTCAGAGTCTGGCCAAGACCATCGAGTACGCTGTGTCTCACGGTCAGGACTTGGGTACGCAGCTGTCTCTCGAGTCGTACAACAGTGAGCGCTATGCTGCCAACCACGTCATCCTAGGCGTTTGCGACAAGCTTCACAGACTCTACTCTGTGGAGAGCGGTCCTCTAGTTCCGTTGCGCTCAGTTGGTCTCAGAGCTGTCAATGCCTTTGGACCCCTGAAGAATTTCTTCATGCAGCAGGCTTCAGGCACTGGCATCAAGCTGCTGTAAAACTTCTCTGTACTCCCCTTAACGCATGTACTCTTGATCTGTAACATTAGACTTGTACATAATCACTCTAGGGCAGGTCAAAGGCCAAAAAATGTTGGAACTGACATGTTTCATTGATACCTCACAGCACAACATCACCTCTACCTACATAGCTTCTCGCTCGAGCGCACGACATTTGTGGGAGTATTTACCGTGGTCCCCCTATCAGCTATGATTACAAACAAAAGGAACCCATTCTAATCTTCTTTCTTTTCCACTCGACTTTACCGATCGACCTCACCTAGTATGGTTGTTAGCATGTGCATATACCAGCAAAAAGCCAGGGTGACTTACCAAACACCAGATCCATAGTACCAATAACCGCCACAGCATCAGCCAGCAAGTGACCCTTG